TTGGTGGATTGTTAAAATAGGAAAGTGTTTATAAACACCAGAGCTAAATTAAACCAACAAGTTGTTTTCAATTTGTGCAGCCAAAGATATATTTTGTGTTATCGTCTTATTAAATATTCGATCATTTTTGAAAGTAAATCAAGCAACATCAAGGCAAAGTGAAGAAAACCCACACAGTGCAGTTAACACCACCGCGACCATCAGTCAAAGTGTTTGAGAGACAGTAACGCGCAGCAGCCACCACCAACAGAAAGCTCAGGCTGGGCTTCGTACCTTTGGCGATGACTTGAATTGCAACCCTTTCATTACTGCTTTCAGAACGCCCTGCCAACCACAGTCACATGTCACAAAAACAGCTGAGATCACTGACAGTGGAGCGCTTGGTAACACGCATGACACATACCGGTTTGCTGTCGGGAGCCTGTTTGACTGGGACGTCATCAGTCTTTTCCTCTCCATTCGTCATGTAACCCTGAGTAGGAAAAAAAAGAATGCTCAGCACACCAATCCACATTAAAACTAAACTCTGACTACTCAGCTGACCAGAAAGGCTCGGAAAGAGTCACAAACAGCAGCTCTCATATGTGGAGAGACCTGGCAAAATGGGCTGGATTATTATTCTTATTTATTTAAATGCTGCAGAGGTCTTTAACTTTTTAATCTCATGATGTGATGTACTTTGTTTATACAGATACTATGTTTTTATTTTTTGTTAATGCTTCAAATTCTCATATTTTCATAATTTTCCCAACTTTGATGTGAGCGACTGAAGCGACTACCAATGAGAGTGAAGGACACTGGTGATTCATTTGTGGCAAGGTGGTAAATACACAAGATTGTTACTTAGGCAATTGGCACATTTTCTAGCAAGTGACCATCAACGACAAAGCAATGCGTGACAATGTGCGCTTTTTGTCTGGACACCGCTTTATGTTTCATTTATACATCTGCGTTGAATCTATGTAGACCTTACAATGTAGCCCACAAGACTATCCAAAGACAGCATTCACACCTGTGCAGGTGGATGAATATTAGTTTGCCCTACTGCACAGGGTTTCGGGAATGTTTCAATTACAATGTACCTACCACAGATTCAACGCAGAACAAACATCCCTTATTAGTCCTAACACTGATTCCTCTGCTTGAGGGTTTCCAGACTGGCAAGAAGACAGGACGAGTGGCGAGTCAAGATTATTAAAATGGAGGGGAAATTGTTTCTAGGGAGGAACAGACATCATAATTGAAAAGAAATATTCATTTATATAATGAAAAATAGGATTTCGCCACTTCCACATCCATCATTAACTAATTTTGAAACAACTTGTTGTGCATCACTGCTTACAGAACAGTATAAACAACAAGTAGATACATTAGCCTGAAACAGTGCAAAAGTACACACACACACACACACACACCCTGATATGCTAACACAAAATGTTAAAGCTTGTCTAAAGCCCTGCTGTGCATTTACACTGAACAGCTGGAGGTGCTTTGCTAACAGTGAAAGTGGGCGCTCTCCCTTTTTGGCTCCACTGAAATATTCCAGTCAGCATTGAGTTATTACCCTACAACAAAGCACACGTGTAGAGAAAGAGCAAGACATTGTATGTACTGTGCATGAACTAAGCCTGAGCTGAGCATTATTGGGTGCAGTTCAAATACCTGTTTGAAGTCTGCATCATCTTTGGGAACTGCAGCAGCTTCAAGTTGCTCAGTTTCTTTGGCACTCTGGAAAGAAAGAGGAAGGTTTTGATCTGGGAGTTTATGAAAAGAAGCGAGGAGGAAGATGGTACTTTGCTGCGTTTGTACCTCTGTGACCTTGGTCTGTGCGCTCGGCCTGCGTTGGCTGTATCTGGTTGGGGCGTTCAGTTCCTGCAAACACAAAACGCCCCACATGGAACAATAACAAAAGACATATGGAACAGGAAAGAAACATGAAACCCTGAGAAGCTCCAAACTCATGTTCATTTCAACATGAAAACAGAAAACAGTAAAACAATAGTTTTACATTGACCCTGAGAAAATGTGCTGTACCTTCTCTGTGGGTCTGGGTGGGACCACGGGCATCTCAGGTGGTTTATCTTTTGTCTGTCGTTGCTTCACATTTCCATCGTTCTGATAAAGAAAAAAAAAGTTGTAAACTTGTTTTTAAAGGTCACACAAATGAGCGAGATATCTGAAGTAGGAAAATGAAGGAAAGCTGTAATGATGTAAGTGGTAAACAGCAGTAGTGGAGAAGCAACACAATGTGTACACACCCCATTGTATGCTGCTGTGACTTTTTTCAGTCTGTATTGTGTGTGACTCAGTTCCTGTGGAGAAAATACAAATCTGCTTTGAAATAAATGAGTACAGTAGAACAATTTCTTTCAGATCTTTAGAAACCACACAGTTTTTTAGACTGAAGAGCCACTTTCACACAAAACTGTAGAGAATCCTGTCAGAACATTATTCAAAGTTCATCTTTCTCACATTCATGGCAAAGCAGGAGTAACTTTGATGACTGGAAATGCTCTGCGTGCTTTTCACAGGCAGACACTCACTACCTGTGAATTTACACTTATTTGTTCTAATCTCACACTGGTACAAATCGCTGACATCACAAAGACTGCTCCAGCGCTGGCAGGTTACAGACCGGCTGATGAACGATCTGACTGCGTTCTCACATCACTTGTGTCAGTGTTCAAGGCTGGCAGGCATGTGTGAAAACAGCTTAAGAAAAATGTTTAGGCTGAATAAGATAAGATTTCCCAAAAAACAAAAAAATAACATAATAGTTTAAATAAATAAGAATGGCCCATAAAGTAAAACGATATAAGGTAAAAAAATTAACAATGTACACAAAAAAAAATTAACACAAAGGAAAAAATATAATAAAATTTAAGATCTTAAAAATGACTAGAACAAATCAGATGTGATCAAATGATCAGTTAGTAAAAGTCCAATTGATACAGGTGACAATTTTTTCTTTTATTACAGAAGAAGCTTTATTGGCTTTTAATAAATGACCAAAATTATAAAGCAGATATTTCTTTTGTACTCAGAGGTCATCCCATTCAAAAACAATCTCACACCTAACGTCCATACGGGAAGAAGCCGTTTTTGAACAGTTCAGCTCCTGTTAGCTTCATCATTTCAATGAAAAATCAAATAAGTCAGCATGTATTATTATCATTAACCATTTGATGTCAATACATTTGAAATCTTTTATTTTCTGTGCACACGCAGGACTTACAGAATCTGTCGGTCTCTGAGGAACAGCAGGAGGGGGTTTCTCAGGTCTCTGTGGTTCATTTCTTTTTATCTGAAAATATGTTTATAATATATTTACAGCATGTGATTATTTTAAACACCAGCTTAGTTATTTATTTATGTGTTTATCACTCTACCTCTGTGGGCTTTGGAGGAGGTTTGGGCTATAAATGGAGAAGAGAGAGAAAAAAAGAGAAGCTGTTAGCTATGCTAAGTACTGTTTGGGCTTTGGGCATTTAAAGGTTTAGCTTGTAATCTATTAGGCAAATATTAACAAGATGTGCGATTAGTCTCTAATATTCTCTGCAGCAGCTCAGACATACAGCATACATAAATAACAATTTGCAGCCATAACAAGAACAAGATATTGTGCAGCTTTTTGTGATGAAGTCAGTCCAGGATTAGAAGACACAGTAAACACTAAGATGACCTGAAAACACAGACAAAATAACTCCTCCAGCATCGTTCCTGCAAAGTACTTGAAAAATTCTACAGGAAAACTTGTTCAGTGTAAAATGCAGCTTGTACACTGACTAATTTGTGCAAGTACTCTCAATTTACTTCAACACTTAAAACATCTGCACTGCAGGCTGTATATACATTTACAGCACCGTATGGGTGATGTGTTGGGGTTGTGCATTGCTTGTGTTCGTTCTGTGTTAACTCTAAATCTTCTCACCGACTTTGGTTTCTTCTTGACTTCTGGTTTCATCATACACGCCTCCATCCTGCCTGCAGAGAGAGATAAAGGGTTTAACTTCTTTGTGATGGCAGCATCACCATTTTTATGCTAACGGGAGCAGCAGCAGTAAGAGACCACCTTCCACCATTCAGCACAGCAAATATCGACTTGTCTCAGTTCATTGCATTCACTAGTTCATGCATTTATTACTTCCAGGCTGAACTACTGTAATTCATTATTATCAGGATGTCCAAAAAACTC